TGCTTTGACCAATCATTTAACGTTATTTATTACTACTTATATTTATGATTACTTATTCTACTGAGCCAAAAATGGACTCCACATCCTCCGGACTAATGATATCAGAGCTCAGGTCAAGCCTGCAGCTCTCATGGGGGGCATCGGAGCTGACAGCTGGCACATCTGGAAAGGCTCCATCACTGCTCAAAGGTATAAACAGGTGTTAGAGGAACATCTGCTCTGACACCTGCTCCGTGCTGACGCGTGTCTCTGGGACGCCTTCGTGTTTGAGCAGGACAAAATCGCAGACTGCATCTGTCCCAGCCGCACGGCCGCTGAACCGGCCCGCCTGCAGTCCAGACCTCTGACCAGCTGACAACATCTGGAGCATCATGTAAGCAACAACAGGACGAAGCAGAGCCAGAACAGCTGGAATCCTTCATCAGACCATCGCAGACTGATGTTAGAGAGCAAACATGGAGCTGTGCAGGAGGTTTTGTGAGCTGCAGCCTGGCGTTTCTTCTACAGATGTTTACTCAGCAATAAGAAAATAGCGACACTCCACTCACAGCCTCACTGTTGATGCGTTCATGGTGCAGATGTACAGTCGCAAAGCATTCAGCATCCAGTTAGCGCTGCAGAAGAGGAGCAAACAGCAGCTCAACAAACATCAGCAAACACACAAAGTGCTTATGTTTGACACTAAACGTGCGCTGTAGTTCAGAGGGAGAGGAACAGGGTGTGACACTCAGAAATGGAGTAAGGGACATTTTATTTAACTTCATACATGATGTGTTACTGAAGATCAGAGCATACAGACGTTGTGTTCTTCAAACGCTGCATGAAAACAGCTGCTCAGCGGTCTGGTTGTTCAGTGCGGGCTAAGCTGGTTGGCTGTGGCTCACAGTGAGTCAGACTGGGGCCCAGCAGCTGTAACCTCTGTGTGACGTCTGCTGGCTCTTTAAATCAGTGCTGTGAGGTTTACAGTCACAGCTCCAGCATTTATGGTCAAGGACAAAGTAGGAAGGTCCTCTCTTCACCACACTGAATATTACCCAGCATCCTTTGCTGTTACTGGAGTCAGTGCAGGGTGACATTTGAGACAGCAGGTGGTGCAGTTGTTTCATTTAGCAGGATTTAAGTGGGACGTTTTTAACAAATAAGAGCTCGTTTGAATTTGATAGCAGCGAGCGCAGGATAGGGCGGGTACCAGAGGCAGTGAGCAGCCAACCCGTACAAGACGGAAGAAACCCGTCACACACACACACACACACACACACACCCTGTCACTCTGTCACACACAGTAACATCGTCTGTGTATTTGTGTACCTCCCTCGTTCTTCTCTCTCAGGTGCTGTGTTTGGTCTCGTGTGCTTGGTTACAGGTCGTGTCTGTTTGCTTTCCTCTCTTTCTTTCTGTTTGTATTCTTTTCCTTTCCTCTCCATCCCACGCCTCCGCTCCAGTGTAACATCCACACAGACAGTAACATGAATAATAAAATCAATATTAACAAGAGAAGCCTACAGAGAGTCTACGGCGCTCCTCCTGGGGGTTTAGCGCAGCAAAGCATTGAAAGCATTCAGAAGCATGGTTTCAACTCTTTCCAATCAGATCACACGTACAGACAGCAGGTGGTCATGTGACCCATTGAAGGGGAGAGCATCTTAATGACCACAGATCATATCTGACTTTACTCAAAATCATTCTCACAATATTTCAGTCGTTTGTGTTTGAGTGTCATTGCGTCAAAAGACTCCAACCTAAAGAAACATCTGGAAGGAAGTTCTTTCAAAAAAACTCTGTTTCCATAATTTTTTCATCACTTTTAATCAGAAGCACAGACGTTCCACCTGCACACCTTTAGATTTCCTACACTTCGCTGTGTAAATGTAAGGAGTCTGAGCTGAAGGGTCAAGATTACACACACACACGGGGTGAGGTTTATAAACTGAAACATGCTGAAATTAATGGCAACTTTTTTCCACATTTAGCTCAAAACCTTACAAAAACATGTTTTTTCCAGACATTTTTTGCAACATTTAGTAAAATATTTGTAACTTTTCATATTTAAAACACAATTTTAAATGTTGAATCTAAATGTTACAGGAAACTAAATATTTAGCCGTCATGTGCTCCTTCATGTTCTCCGTCTCTCTCCAGGCTTTCTCTGTGTGCTTCTTGTGTTACGTTTAAGGTCTGCATCTTGGGTCAGTATTGTCAGTTCCTGTCTTGTTATGTGTAACTGACCTCAGCAATGCTCCCCGTGTGTTCCCACGTCATCACCTTCTGTGTATTGATGTCTCCTTCTGTTCCGTGTCGTCCCGCATGGTTGTTCGCATTCTGCTATCAGCAATAAACATGGGGACTGACTGGACTGACTTGACACCAATATGCAAGATTGCACCTCCACCCACAAAGCGACAAAAGGGTGGATATATGTATGTTTTTACAGGAACAGGAGGATGAAAGAAACATCTTAGTTTCGCTTGAGCTTGTGGGGCATGTAGATCTTTTGGTTGCCAGTTTTTCTGTGTCTGTTTACAAGCAGTGTGTTAATATAATCTTGTATTGCTTACAATGCAAAGGTCACTGTGAGAAAGTGTGCATACAGGATGCACTGTGCTAACATCTACAGTGGCGTGCAAAAGTATTCGGCCCCCTTGAACTTT